GACAAGCAACAGCACAGCTACACATGCTTGCACTTGAAGATAAGCGTGTGGCGGATTTACACACCCCTAGAACCAGTGGGAGGTGTTTTCAGCGCAAGTACAATACGTGACTGAAGCGGGGCCAGGCCACCGAGCCTTGCGCTTCTTGCATAAGAGGTCTGCAGGTGGGCAGCTGTGATACTGACGCAGGGGTCGGAGGTTCGGGGCTCTGAGTTGACATCAATGCCATTCTCTAGGTCCCTTCATGTCCAAGAATGACAGCAGCAACTCCAAACATCACGCTCGTGCAGCTGAGCTCAGAGGGGAAGCGGGTGACCCAGGGGAATTCATCCCCAGGACCCCCCTCTCCCAGTGCACTTCCCCGTACATCTTACTGGCCAGAACTGAGTCACACACACACCCATAGGCCAGACGCAGGTCCCACCTTCTTTGCAATCCCTGGGTCTCTGCCCAAAATACTATCAGGGTTCTTTTAGAAGGCGGGGGCTTTGACTGGACCACCAAAAATGTGTGCTCAGCCCTCTTTCTCTGGGTGTCAGAAGCCCTGAGTTCTCGTCCTGGTCCTGTTTCTGTCTTGCTCAGGTGTGAATAAGTCGATGAACTGGCCACATCATCCTCAAGTCCCAATATGACCCCTATGTACCACTCACAAGGGAGGGAAGGAAGGAAGGAGGGAAGGAAGGAAGGAAGGAAGGAAGGAAGGAAGGAAAGAAGGAAGGAAGGAAGGGAACCTAGCAGCTAGGACTTCTGCATGAGTTTGCCTTTCATCAGGGGCTCCAAGGCCAGAAACAACTTTGAATGCAGGTGAACTAGCTCATTTCAAAGGGAACTTCTACCTCAGGTGTTTCTGAGTGTCAGGATTGGCTGGCCAGCATCTTGTCTGATCTTCAGGCGTTCCCCCCCCCCCCCCCCCCCCCTGACACTGTATGGATATAGATGCAGATATGGACACAGATACAAAGGTAATTATAGATTGTGTTATCTGGTCGTGTCTACAGAGCAGATGGAGATCCATCTGTTGGGGAAGAGGGCTGGGGCAAACTGAGGGCAGCTGAAGGCAAATGAGACTCAGGTGTTCAGGGCTGGCTCCCCATCTCGGAGTCAGAAGTGGCTGCCTGTGCGTGCATGCGTGTGCCGGCGCAAAACTTCCAGGATAAGAGCAATGATTCAAAGTCTACTTTCTGCTCTACCATTAAAACCTTTTAAAATATTTTGCTTAAGCCCTAGCCGGTTTAGCTCAGTGGGTAGAACCATCAGCCTGTGGACTGAAGGGTCCCAGGTTCGATTCTGGTCAAGGGCACATGCCCGGGTTGCAGGCTCCATCCCCAGTGGGGGCATGCAGGAGGCAGCCAATCAATGATTCTCTCTCATCATTGATGTTTCTATCTTCTCTCTCCCTCTCCCTTCCTCTCTGAAATCAATAAAAGTATATATGTTAAAAATAAAAATAACTAAAATATTTTGCTTAATTGGCTTATTTACTTGTTTTAAAATAATGGTCAAGCGTTGCCGTACATTTATTGCCTATTTTTTCATGTATGTAACAAGCAAACATGCATTATTACCGTTTTGCAAAATGATAGCATACTGAGCTACTGATTTGAGTCTCCTCATTTAACAATATTTCATAAATATTTTTCCCTCTTAGTATGTTGAGAGCTGCCTCATTGCTTTATAAAAAACGTTGTGCTCCAGCCAGTAACTCATATCTAAGAAAAGGTAATCTCTAATGATTGTTGAGCAATTGTGCATTTATGGGCTTAAGTTTGTTTTTATGGCCTGGCATTTCCCCCCTCCACTTTATCACTTTTAATTAATCAGTTAATTACCAGTCATAACTGAGTCAAGCTAGAAGGACTCTCTTGGTTTTCAAAAGGCCAACATTAATCCTCAATCATCTCAACATCTCTTAACCTTTTTGGATCTTAAAGAGAACCTGCTCTGATGCCCTCATGTCACAAATGAGGTTGCCTAGGCTCCAAGAGAGGACGTCTTTGATTATGGCCCCATTGGGAGTAGAGAAGCAAAATAAGGGCTTCTCCCACTGCTCCACACTAGAATTTCTGTGGGGGCCCAGAGAATGCTGTGACAGGCAGAATAATGCTCCCCACAGATGTCCGCGCCCTTACCCCCAGAACTTCAGAATGTGATTGACATGGCAGATGTGATTAAGGTTGAGGATCTTGAGATGGGGAAATTATCCTGGATTATCTGGGTAAGCCAATCTAATCGCATGAGCCCTTAAAAAATGTGAGAGGAGGCAGAAGGTGAGTCAGAGAGAGAGACAGTGGAAAAAGAGGCAGGAGAGAGTCAAAGTGTGAGAGGATGTTGACCCATTCTTGCTGAACTTGAAGCTAGAAGAAGGGAGGTCCGGTCAAGAACTGCGGGTGGCCCTCACAGCTGGGATGGTCCTCAGCTGCCAGCCAGCGAGGAAATGGGATCGCAGTCCTACAGCCACAAGGAACTTTGTTCTGCCAATAGCACAAATGACCAAGGGAACAGATCCTCCTCAAGAGCCCTCAGGAGCCTGCTAACACCTGATGTTAGCCCATGAAACTCATGTCTGACTTCAGACCTACAGAACTTCAAAACAACACATTTGTGTTGTTTAAGCTGCTATGTTTGAGATCACTTGTTACAGCAGCAATAGAAAAAGAATACAAACGCTATGGTGACAGACCCCTCCCTGCTTCAGAATTTTCTGGTGCATAGCAACTGATGTCATAGAAAAGATTCTAGAATAACAGGTAATGGAGAAGGACATATGGTTTAGAAGCTCTTGGGTGAAGGCAAAGGGGTATTAAGAAGTGGCGTCTGAAAAATCCAGGAAACTGAGTAAAGGGAGAGAACCTCTCCATAGCAAAGACTGAAGCTGCCACAGGGGTTGTTCCTCCCCTCTCTTGAGAGGGAACCAAGACCTGCAGAAGGACTGGTAGACTGATAAGCAGGTATATGGTGGGCAGGAACCAGGACAGGTGTGACAATACCCAGTTGCAGGTGACACTTATCAACAAATTCACTTACTGCTCATCCGATGACAGTTCTTGTTGGAAAGAGTAGGTTTTCATTCATTCATTCATTCATTCATTCATTCATTCATTCCAGAGAGATTTATTGAGTACCTACTATGCACCAGGATCTGTTCTATGTTCTGGGGATAAAGTGGAGAACAAAATAGACCAGGTTTCTGCATCTCTGGTGCTTACACTCTGGTAATGGGAGATAGACAAGGGAACAAATAAATAAGGTAATTTCTGAAATTGATTTATATTATGAAGAAAACTAGAGGTCCAGTGCACAAAATTTGTGCATGTACAGGGTCCCCAGGCCTGGCCGGCCATCAGGACCAATTGGGGCCTTCTGACTGCTGGCTGGGGCCTCCCTTCATTCCGTGCCACCCCCTGGTGGTCAGCACACATTATAGTGAGCAAGCAAACTCCCAGTCTCCTAATCGAACCCCTGAGGGGACACTTTGCATATTAGTCTTTTATATTACTATGGTTGCAAATATCAAAAAATTTCTATATGTGACACGGCACCAGAGTTAAGTTAGGGTTTTTCAACATGGTGACACGCCTGAGCTCAAAAGGTTTGCCGTCACTGTTGTAGGCAGAAGAAACAGCATGTGGTGGGAGTGAGATTGGGATGTCAAAGAAAAACATGCCAGGTGAACGTGGTGGTGTGAGCGTGAACAAAGGGGGGAGAGGTGTGAAACTTGGGTAGAGAAGTTCTCAGGTACTCGGTCAGGAAGGGTCTTGTTGGCCAGGTTGAGGAGTTGGGATCTTGTTTAAAGTACAAGGGGAGTCCATTGGAGGTGAGTGATGTGATGGATACATGTTTTTAAGAATGTCTTTCTAGGGCTGTGTGGAGAATGGGGAGAAGGGAGCAAAAGAGGAATACAATTAGGAAACCTCAACAGAAGTTGGAGATGGTGATGATTTGGATGAGGATGATATAGAGATGGCAAGAGGTGGGTAGGTTTTGGAAGAACCGGGGACAGGGCTCTGGATGAATTGTCTGCTGGGGAAGAGGCAGGGAGAGTGAGACTGAGTGTGACTTTCATCAGCTGAGAAGGGGCCTGTCCTCTGGGAGCCAGACATTGCCCGAAAATATTGCTTTCTCTGTTGGGAAATGTCAACAAACTTCTCTCAGATGCATTGGAATTCAGTTATTAAGCTAAGGGCGTGCAGTGCCCCAGGTGTCAGAAAAACAAGTGTCCAAGGGAGATTGAGTGCTTCGCATATTTAACTCATTTACTCTTTAAATCAATGCAATTAGGTGAGGGTTACTTTCACCTCGATTACAGGTGAGGAAACAGGCAGAGAGGCCGACTACCTCCCTGAGCTCGCCCCTGGGATCACGAAGACCCCAGCCGCTGAGGGTGGAAAGCTGGGATGTGGACCCAGGCCACCTGAGCGCTAGGCCCTCCTCTGCAGCGTATTTGGTGCACTGGTCATGTCTTTCCTTTCTGTTTTCCAAAATGCACTTAATGACCAAGTTCCACCTCCACAATAAAGGAGAAGAAAGGATTTCAGCACCTGTAACTAGTGTGAAAGAGAGATGAGTGAGAACGAACCAAGAGGAAGCCATTGGGTTTTGCTGAAGTGTGTGTGTGTGTGTGTGTGTGTGTGGGTGTGTGTGTGTGTGTGTGTGTGTGTGTGTGTGTGAGAGAGAGAGAGAGAGAGAGAGAGAGAGAGAGAGAGAGAGAGAGACCTTCAAAAGAGCAATTTCCTTAGAAAACAAGAGGTTAAGAAGAGGGTGGGGCTGCAGGTATCTGAGTCCACAGGAACTTGCAGTGGAGAATTGAGATGGGAAGCTGTGTCGTGGTTAAGCCAGGAGGGACTCCCATTTCTCTGAACACACTGAGTTGCACCCCCAACCCCCACAGTGCTCTTCTGTCCCTTCAGAGGAGCCCCCATGCCCCTGGAACTTTGGTAGAAACTGTGACTCCGCCCGCTCACCTGGCCGCTGTTGCCCAGAATTGCAGGAGCCTGGGGAAGATGAAGGCGTCAGCGGTTCTCTTCCTCATTGGCTACCTGGTGGTCCCCAGTGGCGCTGCTATCTTGGGACGCTGTGTGGTGGCCAAGAGGCTCCGCGATGGAGGCCTGAGTGGTTTTGAGGGCTACAGCCTTGAAAACTGTGAGTAGGCCCCTCTCAGCCCCCTTCCTCCTCACCCCTTCTCTCTCCGCCCCTTACCCAAGCACCCCGAACTCCAACCCTCCTCCGAACCACACACACACCCCTCCTGTTCCACCTTAGGGGTGTGCCTGGCTTACTTTGAGAGCAAGTTCAACCCCGTGGCTGTCTACGAGAACATAGATGGGTTGTACACGGGCTACGGACTCTTTCAGATTCGCAACCCCGACTGGTGCGACCGGGGGAGGAACCGCTGCCACGTGTCCTGCTCGGGTAGGTCCCCTCCCTCCATTCCTCACTGGGGCCCTCAGGGGCACAGCTTTGAGTTCAGAGGTCTGCCTCCCTCGTGGGCAGAGTTTACAAGTTTGGAGCAGGGAGGAGGAGGGCTTGGCGGGTGGGGCCCCTGGGGCACAGGCAGAATAGAGGGCTGTGAGCTGTGTTCTTGGAACCACACAGAAGCCTCTCTGCTGTGAGCAACTGGCCTTCCCTGACATGCTCTGATGTAGCCATGTGGCGGTTGGGTATCATTGCACTTCATTTTCTCCACAGCTTTACTGAATCCAAATTTAAATAAGACAATCGAGTGTGCCAAGAGAATTGTAAAAGGAAAGCAAGGAATGGGAGCATGGTAAGTGGCCCATCTTTACCTATTCTGTATTAAAGACTTTTACCTTAATTAAGATTTCATCTTACTCTCGGTCTAATGTTGGCTGCACATCTGCAGTCCCAAACTAGTGGGATCCTCCTCGCCAAGTTAAGCAGAACAACACCATTGCGTCCTACAACCCCAAGGCCACAGAAGGAAGGAGAGCATTACCAGCCAAATTGTCTTAAGTTGAACATCCCCCCACCCCAGCTGCCACTCAAATCTTGTGTAGGGTTATACAGGATGAGCATCCTTGTAATAAATCTCTGTGTATATTCCTGATTATTTCTTTCACATTAGTGTATTCCCACAAGGGTTTTTGAATACTTTCAAAGATCCTTGATGCATGTTGTGAAGTGACTGTCCAGCAAGCCTGTACCAATTTACATGAATATTAATAGTTGAGTGAAATACCTGTTGACTACACTCTCAGCAATTACAAAACCCTTGCCATTTGAAAGGTGAATAGCAAATTTGTCTTATCTTCTTTGGGGTTTTATGATATCCCCTTAGGGTGTTTTCTATTGGGTTATCTGGCTTTTTCTTCTACATTTGTCAGGAGCGATGGACATTCTGGCCACGGTGCTAGAATGGATGCCGACTCTGTGCTTTTCCAAGCTTCAGCTTCTGAAGTGCTGGGGATGGTCTGCAGAGAGGACCTCTGCTCTCGTCAAGTACAAAGCAGCCGGAGGGTCTGTGCTGTCCTCCTGTGGGGCCTACCGAGTCTCCTGAGCAGGGGCAGCAGTGGAGTGGGGGCAGATCCGCAGGGGGACGTGTTGCACTTGTAGGAGCCTGTGTGGTGTTCCTTCCCATAGCCCACAGGCTCTCTATGCTCTGGAGATCTTGTCCAGTCTCTTGTCCACCTCAAAGGTCAGGGCTTTTGTTTTTAGCTGTTTGCTGTCTCTTTGGGAGCTGAGTTCAGCCAGACATTTTTGCCTCCTTCGTGTCTCCGTATCTTCAGCATCTAGCTCTATGCCTGGCACGTCATAGGTGCCCCCTCGTGCCTCTTGAAAGACCAAAGCTGCATTTGAAGCCGTCATCCAGAAGCAGCTTTATTTTTAATTTATAAAAATAAAGTAACACAGACATATTTTAAACTGAAAAGTAAATGTATCAGCAGCCTCCCGAAGGCCACCCAGTTACCATGTCCCGTGAACCAGATAAAAACGATTGCAAAGGTATGTCCAAATCCACGCGGCATCCCAGGGCGCGCGCTGACGGCACCCAGCTTTTTTCACGTATGACAGAGCTTGCCCATCCTGGCAAACCTCTCCCTAGCACAGTGATGGCGAACCTATGACACCCGTGTCAGAGGTGACACGCGAACTCATTTTTTGGGTTGATTTTTGTTAAATGGCATTTAAATATATAAAATAAATATCAAAAATATAAGTCTTTGTTTTACTATGGTTGCAAATATCAAAAAATTTCTATATGTGACACGGCACCAGAGTTAAGTTAGGGTTTTTCAAAAGGCTGACAGCCGAGCTCAAAAGGTTCGCCACAACTGCCTAGCAGCTTCTGCCAGCTGTGCCCACTGCTCGGGGCTTGTCTGCCAGTGAGGTGGTTCCATTTGGTTCCTGCTGCTGTTTCCCACAAGTCTA